GCTGGTCTTATTATCAGACGAAGAACCAAGAGAAAACAGAGACTGGAACAACTGAACAAGAACATCATTCTCTTGTTCTAGATCTTTTAAAAGTGACAATTTTAACTTGCTGTTGCTTAATTAAGGACAAAAACCCACGGAAGTAGAATCCAAAGCTGCTTGAAGGTGGCAACCAGGACTCTTCTCGGGGGCTTTGAGGGCCTCCTTCCATGGAGCCAAGCCAAATTGTCAAAGAAAAGAACATCTCCTTTCTCCCACTTCCACTTGAACTGTATGCTTTCTTCTTCAATTATCTCTCCACATCTCTTCACCACCTGTTGGGGAACAAGCTCAACATTGGCTTCAGACCAAAGAGTGCTAGCCCAAATGTGCAGGTGAAACAATACAACCACTTGATACGAGACAAGTGTACCAATAGAGTGATCACACATGGTGACACTGTCATGAATGGGGTTTATAAATACCCTCAACCACCTCCTTTACGCTTCTCTTTCTTTATAATTACTTTTATTGAGAGCATTTCTCTCTAAATTATGGAGTATTATAAATGATAAAGTATTACTAACTTGCGTGTTTAGAGTATCTATCTAAAAACATTCTTATTTCTCAGGTTTTCCTAAGTGTTGGAGCAGTTCGTACCTAGTGCCTTCGCCCTGCAACAGATTTCGCTATTTCATTACCGATTAAGCTCTTCGGAGAAGGAAATACTGAATTTTTTAGGCACAAAGTTCAAACCTTGTTTCAAGCTCTTCACGGTCTGATGTTCTGAAGGCATCTTCCCAACCTCGACCCCTCATGGAGGAGGTATCGTTCTTGTTAAGAGCTGTGAATGTGTACTTCAACCCCTTTTTCTCCATTTCCTCTACGGCTTCCGGGTACTCCTCCAACATCCGTTCTGTCACTTTAAAGCTCGGAACAAAGGGTGTCTCTCCACCTTCCGGCAGCAGCACCTCACAGAAAAGTTCCAATTTCAATGGACATTGCTTTATCTGTTACACATAGGGAAGGAAAAATATTATGAAACCTTTCGATGTTTATGGGTTTGGGTACCTTATACTCTGTTTATTAATAAATATTATATTTTGCTGTTAAATAAAAAAAAAACATAGGAAAGGAAAAAAAAAAAAAACAGGGTATTAATTGAAATTTGAATCTGTAGTAGTAAATTAGAGCGTCAAACAGGGATTGAAATTTTGTTGTGGGTTTCATACCAGAATCATTTCATGGTGGTAGTATATGAATTCCTCCAGAGGTCCTTCATTGGCGGTCCATGCCCGTTTGTAGACATGGGTTCTTGGTGCCGGACCGACGTATCGGATATCATCCCAATCGAAGGTTTCCAAAATGTCATTGAAATCCTCTGCTTTCTGGAGATCGAAACCTCGGAGCAGGACAGCGCTGTTTTTGATGATCATCTGCTCGAACTAATTCCTGTTCTTCTTTAAAGCCGAGACAAGCGACTCCAAATCAGCCTTGTCAGCGTTTGCCGGCTGCAGAACCACTGGCATCACTTCACGGTCGACCAGTTTCTGGCCCGCGCATTTCCCCACCTAGAAGTCCTTGCAAGGGAATTCCATGAAGGCTGAAGCTCTGTTTCTTTCTCTCTTTCTTACTCTGTTTTTGATGAGTTTGTGGGGGTGAAGGGTTGAGGGGTTTATATAGTGACTGGGAAATTGTTTGATCGATATTTTCTATGAAAGGAATCAGATGACAGTTTAATGCAGAGTTCGTATCATGTTCCTTCTTGTCTTGTAGGGAGCTGTTTATGTCTTGTAGTTAGCCCTTGTAAATAAATCATTAATATCATAATCGGAAGAGTTGCAGCTTAATTAATTGCGAAAAAGTTTTATTTTTTATTTTATTGATTGAGATTCTGTTTTTTACAAGTTATGAGAAGTGATTTCTTATAATTTAATATTAAATTAAATGACTTAGCTGGATCAAGGAAATATTAATTTCAAAATATACACAGTAATTTGAAACAATTTTAATGGTTAAAAAATAAATTAATGATTAAGATTATAATCTAATAAGTTAATAACAATGCATATGCCACCCCCAACAACTTGCATAATGGTAGTCTTTTCACAATAAAAATAAAAAATGTTGGCTTGAGTCCTAGTGTGGAGTTAATAAAATAATGAAAGGAAGTTACCTAAGGGTAATTACAATTATAATTTTTTTAGTTACACGATGAAATGTAATCTTATTTTTATTTTCTTAATTTATTCCACTTGCATGTAATGTGATTTAAATTCAAATTTTTTACAAGTATGTTTTCTAATTAGTGAATTATTTGTATATCTTGATTTTTTTTTTTTGGGTTTCCACCCGGTATCCGAGGCTTCGTCTCGATTAATCCGGACCCGACCCGCATCGCGTACCTGGAAATGGTGGGTGAGTCTCCCAGCGGGGGCTGCTGCATACACAAGGACTCGAACTCAAGATCTTGGTTAAGCTGGAACAAACCGCTTACCACTTAATCCAACCCCTTGTTGGTATCTTGATAGATAGATATATATAGGATGAAATTAACTATAACACAGATAAAATTATTTATGCAAAAATTCAGTGTTTTGACTTGTATGTGTTTCATTGGTGCTCTAACGTGGCATGGTTTAGATGAGCTCATAGGATTGATAATTCAAGGGAGGAGGATCATAGAAATAGAAATGAGACAGAAAAATAATGACAATTCATGGACAGAGAATATTATATGGGCTTTGTCTATAGCAATGTATTCCATGCAATTCTAGTTAGGTTAAAACCCCTTTTAGGTCCCTGAACTATTGTATGGACCCTCAATTTGGTCTCTAAACTAAAAAAATCCTTGATTTGGTCTCTACTGTTTATCATTTTTACCCTGATTTGGTCCTTCCGTTAAAAATTGTGTGATGTGGCCTGTTACTTCACGGTTACCAAATGACATGTCATATAGTAATCCACGTGGAAGATAATTTAGCCAAAAAGTGATGATGTGGAAAAAATAATAATATAAAAAATAAAACTTAAAATTTTTTTTCTTTTTTTCTTTTTTCTTTCTCCTTCTCATTTCCCTTTCTCTTTCTCCTTCCCCTTTCCCTTCTCTTTCCCCGCCTGCTGGGTTCCTTCGAACCCACCCAGGCGCTGGGTTCGCAAGGAACCGAACCCAGCACGCTTGCCTGGGTTCCCTCGAACCCACGCCTGGGTTCGAAGAACCCAGCTGGTTCGCCGCTGGGTTCCAAGGAACCCACGCCTGGGTTCTTCGAACCAGCTAGGTTCCATGGAACCCAACTCTGGGTTCCGTTGAACCCAGGCGTGGGTTCGAAGAACCAAGCACGCTTGGGTTCCTCGAACACAGGGGGTAAAAAATATCTGTGGGTTTGGTGTTTGATGATGATGAAGAAAGCAAGGTTTGGAACCCAGTGGCGAACCAACTGGGTTCCGTCGAACCCAGGCGTGGGTTCAACGGAACCCAGGCATGGGTTCGAAGAACCCAGCACGCCTAGGTTCCTCGAACCCAGGGGGTAAAAAATATATATATTTTTTCTATGGGTTTGGTGTTTGATGATGATGAAGAAAGCAAGGCAAGGAAGAGGAAGGAAAAAAAAAGGGCGCTGTTGGGTTCAATTCAACCCAGTTACTGGGTTTGTTTGTTGGAGGATGGGTTTGTTTGCTGTAGGAAGAAGATGATGGCAAATTCATAATTTTGGTGGGCCCCACTTTTGTTGGGTTGGGCAAGAACATGACATGTCAAGTTGCCATGTCATTATTTATTCATTTATACAACTGACGTGTCTCAAACATTAGACATTTCATTAAATTGTCGTAAGATAACAGTGATATTTTAATGGAAGGACCAAATCGGGGTAAAAATAGTAAACAACAGGGACCAAATTAGAGATTTTTTTAGTTTAGGGACCAAATCGGGGGTCCGTACAATAGTTCAAGGACCAAAAAGGGGTTTTAACCTTCTAGTTATTACCAAAGTAT